CAGTGTATGTGCATTTTTTCTTTAAAATTTTAACTGTGTTTCCTTGTGGAAAGTCAATTTCGAGAAAAAGTTCCGGTAATTCCCATTGAGAATTTCCGTCTCTTGGACAACCCAGGATTACAACTCCTTATTATGCAATTTCCGCCCTATTATCTCTGAAATAGTCGTTTACGGGATTTTAAAACAAACGAAAATTTCAAACTTTTAGCTCTAAAAGTGGTCGCTGTCGCTTACGAGAGGTGGTCGCTTACAAGAGGTTCCAAATAAAGTGATTTGACTTGGAAACTTTTTTTATTCTGGAAAACCAATCACTGAGGAGAGGTGGTCGCTCACGAGAGGTGGTCGAAACCGGAGGTTCGATTGTATATGAGAATGATATGTAAGTTGAAATCTTACTCCGCGGTTGAAATATATGAAAGATCATACATTTCAACCGCGGAGAAAGATATGAAGACATCAACGATCATCGCAGTTATACACACAACTTAAGCAGCTGTGAAATTAAACCTTGAAAATTCAGGCTTGATCTTTCATATATTCATTTGCATTCTTCACCATCTATGGGCATACTACGAACTCACAATGTGACCAGCTCCAAGTTGGCTTGATAGCTCAGTTGGTAGAGCACTGCACCGGTATCGCAGAGGTTATGGATTCGAATCCCGTTCAAGCCTGAATTTTTTTTTCAGGCTTTAATTTCACAGCTGGTCGTGTATATAACTGCGATTATCACTGATGTTTTTGCAATTCATATCTTTTCATCCACAGTTTAAATATATGATCTTTCATCATGATACACTTGCATTCTGCACCATGTACGAGAACTATCGCGAACTCACTAAGGTTATGTGGCGACGGACGCATGCGCAGCGTAGCTACGTTTGATACAGTGGAAAGACCTGTCTTTCGTGTTAGTGTCCGCTACACAAAGTTTTAACATCTGGACATGCAATGTTCATACTGCTGAAAATTAATGATTATGGAGGCATAGAGTCATAGAGAGGACAAAAATTTTTTGAGAACTGCATTTAATGGAAAGCTGTACCAAAACACATCACATGAGTGGCAATAACGTTTTACATATAATTTCATCAAGCTGCAGTGTTTAGTCAGACATTGTACTTTACTAAGCGTCAGTTAGCATTTTGAAGACGAGAAATTTTTATGCACACGCACACAAGAACTTGAAGTAAATTTTTTATGCGCATGCGCACAAAAACGCGGGGCAATACCCCCTGGCACAGTTGTTGGTACACCATTGATCCATTCCTGTGTTACCTTTCCAGGGTCCTAAAGCCTTGCATCCAGAGGGGGGTGCATTGCTTGGGGGCTGGGGTTTTGGTGGGGGAGGAGGCGCAGCCGTTGGAATGGGTCCTGCTCCTCCACCTAATGATTGCTTGACTGCATTTATCAGAGGGTACCTAATAAAACAGAACAACTCATTTTAACACTCAAAGACATACTGTTAGGATTACACAATTCTCTTTTAAGGAAGGAATCTGTTGACAACAGTTTTAATCATAAACCTGAATGAGGCATCCTGTTAAAACAAACGCTTTAGCACTGTTCTACTATAACGGGAAAAACAGTCCATGAGCTTGAGACACGGTAGAAGAAGGCATACGACCAAAAGGGTAAAAAACCGAATAAGTGACACCAAACACGTTTTTCTCGTGGTTTGATTTCAGGATCTAAATAGGCCTACTGGGGCTTGAAGAACCTAGAGTTTACCAATATTATGTTTGATCTCGTGTAAACCCTCCGTTGAAAATATTATTACTTCTTCAGGAGAGGAAATTAGTTTACCTAACTTTACTTACCTTCCTTGGCCACAGAAGGAACCCTTAAAATCATCCAGATCCAGCGACCAGAACATGGCACCGAGGAGATTTTTTCCTTTGATCAGGGTATTCACTTTCAATACCAAACTCCTCCTGTCATCGTACCCCACCCACTGATCTCCGAGGTATCCATACGGAGCTTTCACTGTATTGTCCCGCACCACTGTCAGACCCATCTTACAGATCTCGTAATAGGACAGGAATCCTCCTTCCCTTGTGTACCTCCCAGGAGTAGCCCTGCCTCTGACCGGTGCTCCAAGTCCATTTTGGCTCGGGTTTGATAGCTTGAACGCTCGACCATACGTAGCCAGTCCTAGTGCGATTTTCTTGCTAGGCATACCCTAATGGAGAAATGTGTTGTCATCATTACGTCAACACCACGTTTAAATTCTTTGTCTATATTTCAACAAAAGAGTGTTTCTGGTGGAGACCTAGCCCGCTGAAAAGCACCCACCCGAGATCGTACCTAGTGATCAGTTTGGCCAATGATGACATTGGAGAATTTAGTGTTGAAATGTAAAATGTTATAGGATTGTAACTACTAGCATGTTTCCTGAATTGGATTGGTTTTACGAAGATCAGCGCAAATTGAAAAACGACAGATTGATTTCTCAACTATATCCCCTAAAAAGAAAAGCAATTGAACTGACACAATCCCTGGCTATTTTAAAATACGATCACGACTACCTTATTTATCCAATACTGCACTGCGTACGAGACCGTCAATGTATCCCCTTGGGGACCCTCCAGAGCAGTGTGGTGTCCTGTTCTTCCATCCCAGCTTCCACGAAGATCATAGGTCATCAAGTTGATAAAATCGAGTGTTCTCGCCAATTTGCTTATTTCATACGCCTTGTTAATTCTTGCCACGCCAGCGGCCACGGCTGCCGTCAGCAGGAGGCGCCGCTTTCCGCTCTGTAATGACTCTGCCTTGAAGGCGGTCAATAACTCCTGGCAAAGGACTGTGAAGCGCTGTTTGTCCTGTGGTGGAGAGTTACCACGGTTTGCGGGGTATTCCCAGTCGAGGTCAAATCCATCGAAGTTATACTGTCTCAGTAACCTAAACAATCGCGTGTTAATATGAGTAATACAGGACCTTGATGAGATATTTCTCAGTTTCTGCACCTGCTCTAACTTGTATTTCTCCCCAAAACATTTTCATCCGCGTTGAGGCAAATATATATGTGTGTTTGCTTAGAAATTTTAGGCAAGTCTTTCTGTGATTTTGTTGGCCTTATAATCGCTTTCCTTGCTTAGTGCTAGAAACGTTTCCGCTGTTACCTCTAGGAATGTAACAGCGGAACATTTTTAAGTGCTCCGGAGTCACAGAGAGGTTACGTTTTTCTACTATTCTCATAGGATAAATCGGTTAAACTTTCCCTTTATTGCCTGTGCCCCTGGTCTGATTCATCCAATCGTTCTCGTTTGTATGTTAGGTAAGATCTTTAGGCGCTCTATCATGCACTATTGTGACTAGTGATAACGATGTGATTGGCTACCCGAGCGGGAAAGATGGACCTATCTCCGCTCGGGAGTACCCGCCGTGTCCTGCAACAAAAATTTCCCCGAAAGCCATATAATAAATCCTTTATTGACCAAGCTTGTTCGGTCAAGATGCCTTAATATTGGCCTCGTTCTTTTTTTGCGAGTTTATGGACCTCGACTCCGTCTCGGTCCATAAACACACACAAAAAAAACTTGGCCAATATCCAACCATCTTGACCTTACACTTGGTCAATAACCCATACTTCTCGCATTCCTCTTCAGTGTTCGATTTGTCATTGCTTATTGGACTACGAGAAAGATGTAGTTAACGAGCGAAGGGACGTTTCAGTCAATGAGGATAGAAATGTGGCCAGGTCGGGTCGCATAATAGTCTGCCAAGCCTTTTTGTGAAACTTCCATTGCGGAGCTGCACAACGCCTGTTGTACTCGATTGGTGCATGCTTTTTACAGCGTGAGGAATGATTTGAAAAATGACCTAAGTAGTAGAAATGTAGCATCGATGGGAACCGTCCTTCAGGGATTAACAGAAGACTAAGCGTCGACACACTAGTCGCAAGAGCTGAGCAGCGAGCGTTACATAAACTAACAATAATTTACTACGTTTCGCTATTCTCGTTATCTGTCCGCTTATTATTGTTTTGGGATTTTAAGGAAAAACTACGCGTTATTCACGCGCCAATGGAAAATTCGCAGAGTTGATGATGCTCACCTGATGACAGAAGTAATGAAGACATTCCGATTAGCTGCCGTGCTCACCATACGTGAAAAAGGACTCACTGTTCCGCTCTCGTGATTCCATCCGCCAACGGCCAGAAGTGTCTTTAACCTGGGGTTCTGTCGCTTCAGATTGTTAAACCGGACGTACATTTGATTGTCATTCCATTCGAACATGGCGATCCTGTTGCCTGCGTCGATTTTGGCGAAGGAGTAGATCACGTGAGTGCAAAGGAATGGGTCGATGTCTTCTGGGAAGAACTTTGCACCAGATGGTCGATACTGCGCCCAGTTGGTGTAATAACAAACTCGGTAATAGGCATCACAACTCGCTGACAGAGCCATAAAGGCTAAGAGTAGAGTCAAAGCTTGCATGTTTACTGAACCGAATTACTTCCTGACGATAATAAAGGAAATCGTTAGTGGCTAGGTGGACAAACTGTAAGTGTTAGCGGCTAGTCGATCTCAACCTTAGCCTGATTCTCAGACGTCCGAGGTCGTTCACGGCCCCTTCGCTACCCATCTCTCATCTCCCAAAGGGAGAGGGAGAGAGGGACCATGAACGACCTCGGACGTCTGAGAATCAGGCTATCTCAACCTCAGCTATGGAATTATTTTTGGCAATTATCTATCAAACAAGCCATAATAAGCGCTTCTCCCAATCGTAGGATTATCTAAGCATTATCCATGTGGTATACGAGTTAAAAAGGAGAGAGAGTAAAGGAAAGTGTTGACGGCAAGTCTCAAACTCAGCTATAGAATGATTTTAAAAAGTTCATTAAAAACAAGCAGTAATACATGCTGCTCCATGTCAAAAAAATATGTAATCATTACCCATGTGCTGTACAAGTTTTAAATTGCGAATCTTTGATGTGAGCTCTGCTAGCGATTAGTTTCAGTCCAAAACTGGAATGTGGTAATGATAATATCACTAATTATTTTTAAAGAATTTAGAATTTTGGTTCATAACACGTTAGTATTGATTTTAGAACATGAATGCTCACACACAGTGTTATGACCTCAAGTTGTTTATGTTGGTCTATCGAGAGTACTTAATCTCCGAACAATAACCTATCGATAGTCATGTTTGGGTTTGTCTGATGGCCTTCGTCTGTATCTTCCACAAAGATCCTGTTTAGATTTCTTGTTTTATAAACTTTAGCCTCCATTGCTTGATTCAAGAGCTTTGTTGTTCGATTCTGAATCAGAAAGTCGCGTGAAAGTGTTTGGGTTAGTATTATGAAAAGATCCTTAATCCTTAAAGGTCAGTTCGTCCCGTGTGGCCCACACTTAACTACCCATATGGTATTTAAGTGCGTGTGCATTTTGTAAGTCAATTAGAAGTAGAAGTAGAAGCAGTAGAGGTTATACGAAGATTGTGAAAGACAGAAGTCCGAGAAATACGAGATCCAGAGACAATTTATTAGTAGAAAGCTCAACGAAAGAAGCGTAACGTTGCAACAAGACTTTTCAAAACTTGGAGCGAGAACTACCCAAAAGCATCCTAATGGCCCGTGCCATTTGCTCTCTACGCCTCTACAATCAACTTATTTTCGCTGGGTGCTCTATTGTCCAACCTCTTTAGATTGTTGTGCTTCTAGAAATCATCCCGAAATCGAACTCATATATCCTTTAATTACAGTCTAGCCGTGGATATTTCTTGGAAGCTTGGAAATGATGATAATTCTGATGTTCTATCCTCAACAAAATATCGACTGAGAAGAAAACGAATATCATTACTAAAAGACAGAAAATTAAGGAGTTGTTGTGTTGTGCACAGCACTAATTAGGAGTGGAGATTATAGTTTGATATTATAGCTTGTTTTTTTGTATTTTAAACGCTCCGAAAACATTTCACGAGCAATTGTCTGGTTGTGCACTTGTCCTTTTTTTCTTTTTCTTTTTTTTTTTTTTTACCAAAGTCAAGTTTCCCATTCTGATCCATTGGTAGCATAGTGCCCGCTCTTCAAACACCTAGAGAGTGAGATCATGACGGCAAAAACATGAAGGAAATCTCAAGTACCTGAAATATACGCTGCGATGGAAGACCGCCAATGTATTAAATTTTGTATTGGATTTAATGATAAATCTGCGACCCCCAAAATGAAACTCTGCACCTCTTACGCAGGATCTAGGTCATATCCTGCGCGCATTTCTTGTAGATATCTTGTTTATGCCTTTTTGAGGATATGAGAAAATAAAGCAAGTTGACAAGATCTGTTGCTGTGTGCTGCTTATTAGTATTTATTTATCTATTTTTTTTTCTTTTTTAAAATTCCAACTCTGTAGATAAAATGAAAGAAAGTTAGATGCCTAATGAAAAGATGGGGCTCGATGGTTCCCTCTCGATGAAATTCAAATACATCCAGGACATCGCTATTTGATATTTGATTACGTTTTGTAAATTTATAAAATCGTTTCAATTTCTAAACTTGTTCTCCGTATCACGCCCCCTTGTCATATTTGGTAGCTACGACAAAAAATTCTCTATGCGTTCTTCTTTTCAGTAAAATAAAACCTCTTCTGACCTGTTATCATTATGTTTTTCCCCGGGCACAAGTTGCTTTTTACTTCGTAGTATATTTCAAGGAATAGCGCACCTGTTCTTTTAGACACTTCTCATTTGTTGCAGTTCCTGATAACTTGCAGCCTGATAATTTGTTTTGCTTTGAAGGCTCAAGTTTGTATAGACAGTTATGTATCGCTTCAAAAGTTTATAAAGGTTTTACTAGTGTACATGTACCGCAGAATTACTGGCTAATGTCTCCGAATATTAGGTGAGCAAATTCTTGGGCGATGATTTTGAATTTGAGAATAAAAAACGTTCAGATTAACTTCGACTCGTGAATCCTTCCGTTGATAAAAGCTGAAAGTTGTGTGGAACTAAAAACGAAAACAACAACAACAACAAATGTCTTACCTTTCTTTGAAACCTGAAACGTCTCAGGCGGGATTAGAGCACGATATAAAATGCTTTCTTCAACTCCTAAAAAACTGCAAGAGAGCCTCTTATATATTCCCTATGCGCCTCGTAAAATTAATGCATTTTCATGAGGCGGAAGTCTCTTGTAATAGTTGAAAATACTCGTACACGTTAATATTGCTACATTGACTAGCAAACTACGTTTTTATTTTCTACTATGCCCGCTCTCAGGTTAAGAGTTACATCCTAAAACCAGATAAGATGTTTTTCCATTCCTCTGCGCCTATTTTGAACGGTTCTTTGTTGAATATATTCACTTGAATAAAGAACACTGTTCTTTAGGTCCAAATGTAACAAAGATTATACATATGGGATAGAGATATTGCACCCGAGTCAGATAAAAAACGTAATCATGTTGGTTCTCCAGTTGTTACCCATTCCTGCTTGTTATGCTTTGCTGGAATTCACGTTACTTTAGCTAAAACTGCTTTGTCGACTGCAGCTGAGCATAATTTTTCTCAAGGTTTTTATTCAGAAACACAACTTTGCCTTTCTCTCCTAAATTTGAGAAGAAACGGGGTCCAGAACATGTAGAAATATTGAGTAGTTATGGCAAGTGTTGTATAATGTTTTCTAAGTGCCTTTGAAGTGAACCTCTTGATCCTTTTTTCCTTCCTTGGACAACATCTCCACTCCACTTAAAGATCTCAATGTCTCCAACTTCTCTAAACAAAAGGAGCTTTATCTACTGTGTGAACAACATTTGAAAACTTGTAATATTTTGTCCTCTCTATTGCACTATGTACATATCTTTTCTCTTACAGTTCTGTATTCTCATATCCGTACTTTGAGGCATTACATACAACAACTGGGGACTGACTAGGAACGTGCGAGTTATTTTAGTCTCCAGTCTCATATTATACTTTTCTTCTATTTATATA